TATGTTTATACTCAAATTTATATGAATTTAATATGTATTTATATACAAATCCATTTAAATTGGGATCTGTAAATATTATATAAATGTTATATGAATATTAATATATTTATGTATACATTGATACATTTATATATTTATATACAAATTTGAATAAATTTTATGTGTGTTTTTATACAATTTTATATAAATCAACATATCTCTATATGCAAATTTATATAAATTTACGTATGTTTACACTCAAATTTCTATAAATTTTATGTATGTTTATATAAGAGATAAATGAATAACTTCTTTTCCTTGACCACGCATCAACATGCAACGCTGTGCAGAACCTCTGAATGTTGTAATATTATCTTAAATATAATATATAATATAAAAGATACATCCCTGTGTGATGTATTAATCCCTGGATATGCCAGTATTTAGACATTAAAGATATTCTGAATATTTAATCCTCGTGCCAGTTAAGATCCAGCTTTGGCATCTCCTCCATAATAAAGAAACACACTGGCAATTAGGAAAACCTTCAGTTTTTGGCCGAGCCCTCGGGTTTGAAGGTGCAGGTGCAGACAAATCCCCGAGGATGGAAAAATCCACGTGGGAAGAGCCAAGTGCCAAGGATTCCTCCCCCCTGGAAAACGGGGCCCTCTTACCTCCCCATAGCCACAAACCACCACCTGCTTCCCTCCGAACATCATGTCCGTCGTCCTCTTAAGGCTGAGGGAGGAGAGAAAACCACACTTAAAACCAGCCCTAAGAGCTAATCCCGGGATTAGCTGCTGCTCCTCCCCAACCCCACGGCTGGGTCCCGGACCCCTGAGAATTTGGGGGGCAGAGAAGGCCCCAAACCCACCTAAAAACTGACTTTTCCCCTTTTTCCCAGCGAAACACAACAAACAGGACACAGTTTGGGTTTGGAGCCCTTTTTCTGTTGCTCGTTATTTGCCGACCCTTTGTTTTGCCACTCCTGAAATGCCGAAAACCTTCGGCAAAAACATGTTTTTCTTCATTTTTGTGGCTCCAAATGCCACACAGAGCAGCACAGAGGCAGCAGGGAAGTGGTAACTCACTGCCAGGATCCCAGTGCTTCCCACAAATGAAGCTCCCCCTTCCACTCCCTTTCCTTCTGGTTTCTCCCTAAGAGTGTCCTACATTCCAGGCTATTTTTAGCACAGGAGTAAATAGGTTAGCAGTGCAGGGAAGGTGAAATTCCCTCACTTTTCCGAGACAATTTGGATAAAACCCACAGCAGATTTAATTGCACCTCTGCTCACACCTCCCTTGACCCAGTTTTAGACGCCTGGGCCAGACTTAACCCAAATCCCAACTCACCCCTCAAGGGGTTGCTGTAGAATCCCAGGATAGTTTGGGTGGGAAGGGACCTAAAAGCCCATCCAGTGCCACCCCCTGCCATGGGCAGGGACACCTCCCACTGTCCCAGGTTGCTCCAACCTGGCCTTGGACACTTCCAGGGATGCAGGGGCAGCCACAGCTTCTCTGGGCAACCCATTCCCATGTTTTACCACCCTCATTTCCCCCATTATTGCTTCCAGTGCCTTGGAAAACACGTTACAGCTTCCAGTGCCTTGGAAAACACTGCTCCAGGTTACAGCTTTATGGATTGTTCATGGAATATGTCCCAGCTGAACTGCAGGAACAAAACTTGTCCTGACCTCGCTTGGCTCCGACAGAATTGGGCGGTGGAAGAGGTGAGGACACAGACACCCAATTCCACCAAAATAAAGGGAATAAAGAGGTGGAGAGAGAAAAAAAAACCAAACCAAAACAAAACAAAAAAGATCCCTGAGGATAAAAAAATGGAAACTAGAAAGGCAAAGAAGGTGGTGAGGAAGCTGCTGCTCCACTCACACCCCCCACGGACACAGACGGCTTTTGTCCCAAAAAGGCCAGAGGGACGGGAAGGAGCCACATGTGAGGAATTCTGAAGCAGAGCACAGGTAATGAAGGGTCTTTGTTCTGCTCTCACACACCAGCTGGGCTCAAACGAGCCGAGTGGCAGCAGGGCAGAGCCGTGGGCACCACTCCCTGTGGGATGGGGGGTGTCCCGTACGTACCCGTCCAGGATGGACTCCCGGCAGCAGTACAGGTTGTCAAACTTCTGCTTCGTGACCGAGTCATTGACGTTCATGGCTGGGACACAGAGCTTGCCTGCCTTGGACAGCTGGTACAGCCTGCATGGACACGGGAAAACACGGCCTCAGGGGGAAAACATTCCCCTGGGAAAACACGGCCTCAGGGGGAAAACATTCCCCTGGGAAAACACGGCCTCAGGGGGAAAACATTCCCCTGCGCTCTGCTGGGGGGTTTGGGTGGGAAGGGATTTAAAGAGCATCTCATTCCACCCCTGCCATGGGCAGGGACACCTTCCACTAGCCCAGGTTGCTCCAACCTGGCCTTGGACACTTCCAGGGATCCAGGGGCAGCCACAGCTTCTCTGGGAAATTCATTCCAGGGCCTCCCCACCCTCCCAGACAGCAATTCCTTCCCAGTATCCCATCTATCCCTGCCCTCTGGCACTGGGAAGCCATTCCCTGTGTCCTGTCCCTCCAGGCCTTGTCCCCAGTCCCTCTCCAGCTCTCCTGGAGCCCCTTTAGGCCCTGCAAGGGGCTCTCAGCTCTCCCTGGAGCCTTCTCTTCTCCAGGGGAACCCCCCCAGCTCTCCAACATCAACCTGCCCTCCTAATTCCAAGCACGGACTCGACTCCCAGCAGCAGCAAAACCACTAAAAATGAATCCAAACACGTCACTGGGGCTTCAAAGAGCATCTGAAAATGTCCCTGCTCCAGCCCATGGGAAGAAGAACATGCTTGGAAATGTCTTTTGCCCATATTGGGAATGATTCCAGATACTAAAAATACCATCAGTCCTTTTCCTGACCCCACTGGCTGCAGACCTGAATCCACTTCCCTCTTTCAATATTTCATTTCCCCGTTTCAAGGGATGCCTGAACCTCTGGCCAAGCTCTCCGGCAGCTCCAAGAGCTGCAGCCAAACCCTTCTCCCTGCAAAAATAGGGCAAAAAGCAGAGGCTGCTGCTCTTCCCCCCAGTTCCCTGTTTTCCGGCGCCTGTGACAGGATTAACTCCCCTGGGAAGGCCACTTCTCCCACCACACCTCTGCTCCTGCCATGGACTGATGGGTTTCACTGAGTCATCTCTGAGGTCCTCCCTTTGTGGGACCCCACCCCGACTGGAGAATCAGTTCCTCTTCCCAAATCTCACTTCTTCCCAGAGATTTAGGTCAGGACTACACTTCTGGCTTTGCCCTCAGCCCACCCCTTCTTGTGCAACGCCCTCAGCCCTTCCTCCTCCATCCCCCAAACGAGCTGAGGAACCATTCCTCCCACTTCCCAGGGGGAAAACAAGGCCTGGTGCACCTTCCCACCCACCCAGTGCCCAGGAGGTGCTTCTGCTCCCACTCTGGAGTTCAGAGCAGCAGCTCCAAGCGGGAACCGAGGAGGGATTTCAAACAGCTCTCCTGGAAAGCCAAGCCCAGGCTGAAGGGAAAGCTCAGCCCACGTGTTGGGGGTTCACCCCTCAGGTGAGCTGGGGTGTCTCCTGGCACGGGGGCCTTTGGCACCAGCGCCCTGAGGTGTTTCTGTCCCAAATTCTCCTGCCAGCCCAGCCCATCCCGTTACCTGTGGACTCCTGTCACACTCTCCTCCACTATCCCCTTGATCTTCTTAAACATGTTGGGATATTTCTTGTAGATCCAGTGAGTGAGATCTCCCCCATCATCCAGGATCTGGAAAGGAAACAACCCCAGTCAGTGCTCTGAGGGTCCAGTGAGGCCTCCAGAACCCAGAGAGGTACCAGGGATAAACCATCCCATGTTCTGGCACCTCAAACCCCACAGTGTGAGCCAGGTGGGAACACTCTGGTTGAGCATTCCGAGCGGGAATGACGCTTCATCAATAATGTCCTGGAGAGGCAACAGGTCAGACAAACACAGCAAACCTTGGTAGCAATGAAGAGAACTGAGGAATTATGGAAAGTGGCTGTGCAGGCTCCTCTCTCCCTGTCTCCCAGAAGCACAGATGGAAAAACCTCTGAACTGGGCAGAGTCATCAGCTCTTCTGACGTGACTGGGAATGGAGGAGGAGGATGGAGAAAGAGCAGGATGCAAAAGGAGGAGGGTGAAGTGCCAGGGAACTGTGCTGACCAGACTGGCTGAGAGCTCATCACCCCAGGGCATGACTATCATCATCACCATCCTCCTCACAGTCACTGCCATCATCACCATCATCATCACCACCACCACCACTACCATCACCCTTTTTGCATGTTCCCCACTCCCACACCAAAGAATTCTGCCTGCATCACCTTCACCCTCCTCTTCCTCTGTGCATGTTCCCTACACTAACATCAGACCTTATCATCATCCTCCTCCTCATCCCCTTCTTTGCCTGTTCCCTACAGCTCCTGGTGTGGCCCAGGGGTGCCCTAAAATTCACGTGCCAACCCCGGGCAGAAGCACCTCCACTCGTTGGTCACTGGTGGAGCTCGGCTGGGCCCCTCCTGCTGAGGGTCTGCAGCTTTCCCAGGAAAAAAGAACGCTCCCACACGTGGCAGAAGCCCCATTTGGGCACAAAGGTGACATCCCTGAGCTTTGCCATAACATAATATGGTGGCTTCTCATCCATGGACAGAGAGTTCCTGGGAAATATTATGTATTTTCCTCTCAGAATGGCTGGATTTGCCACTGATGTGCAGCAGCTGCTCCTCCAGAATGTCTGGGAAGCACAGGCAGAATGTTTAGGAGCATCCATGCAGATCCAGCTCTTGAGTCTCCGGGGCATTCCCAGCTCCATGTTCCACCCACAGGGAAGCAGAGGCAGGTGAGGGTTAAGTGGGCTGGGCAGCTCTGCCGGGCCAGCCCAGGTAGGAATCCAGCAGCCTGGAACTGAGCAGCCTGGCTCCCAGGACATCTCCATTTCATTAATCCCCATTTAATAGGGCACATAATCCTCTTCTAAGAGAGAATTCTGGGAGCTGGAAGTTTCCTCTTTCCTGGGAGAGCAGGGGATGTAAAACCCCCAAGCTGAATCCACGGGGGAACCGGTTTTGAGGGAAGGTCACCTCTGTGTGGCAGCCCCGACCATCCAGCAGCACAGCCCCACATTCCTGCAGTTTTCCCAGCTTTATGCAGGTTGTTTGCCCTCATTCTCGTTCTTCCAGCCAGTTTTATTTTTTTTTTGGGGGGAAAAAAGCCTTTATTTGAGGTGCAGATGATTTCTCCAGCAGAAAAGCAGCTCTTCCAGGTGGGAACCTTGGTGGGTGTTTCTCTCTCCAAGCAGGACAAATTCCCATTGCTGTCCCTTCACCCTCCCTCAGCCCTTCCATCTCCTGTTTTCTCCAACAGAAAAATCTCTGGCTCTTCCAGGAAAGAAACTGGTGTCTCCAGGTGCCATTTCACCACCTCTTAAACCCACCCAAGGCCCCGTTACCACCTCGCCTCCCCCTGTTCCCTTCCCAGCTTCCCAAACCACAGCACGTGGCTGATCCTGCCCAAACCAAGTGGATTAAAACTGCCCAGGATTAGCTCAGTAACGTGCCTGAAAACAATTTGCCGCAGAAAATGAGCGAGGAAAACACAAGGAGATGGCAGGAGGGAGTGGAGGGAGATGGCACCGAAATCCCCCCGGAGGCAGCGCGGTCCTGGATCAGGGAACCAACATCCCAGTGCTGCAGATTCCGTATTTTTCAGGAAAAAAAAACTCCTCTCTGAGCCATTCCTGTCCAGACAGAGCCCCACTCTGAAGGTCAGTATTCCCAGAGCCCTCCTCTGAAGGTCTGGATTCCCAGAGCCCTCCTCTGAAGGTCTGGATTCCCAAAGCCCCACTGTGAAAGCCTGTGATTCCCAGAGCACTCCTCCTGAAGGTCAGCACTCTCAAAACCCTGATTCCCTGAAGTTCAGGAATCCCAGAGCCATTCCATGAAGGTCTTTGGTTCCCAGAGCCATCCTCTGAAGGTATGGATTTCCAAAACCCTCCTCTGAAGGTCAGAATTTCTGGGTGGTGAGGTCCTGGCACAAGTTGCCCAGAGAAGCTGTGGCTGCCCCTGGATCCCTGGAAGTGTCCAAGGCCAGGTTGGAGCAACCTGGGCCAGTGGAAGGTGTCCCTGCCCATGGCAGGGGTGGCACTGGATGGTCTTGAAGGTCCCTTCCCACCCAAACCATCCTGTTTCCATGGTTCCACACCTCTCACACCTGTTCTTCACCCTGTTTCCAGTGTCCCATTCCTTATCTCTAAAACCACGGATCTCCAAAGTCCAGCGTGCAAATCTCTGGGAATAGATCCGAGGCACTTGGTGCTCCCCTCAGTTATCCCTGTGCTCCAGAAGCAGCTCTGGAAACAGTTCTGATGGCTGGAGACACGTGAAGGGCTCTGAGCAGATCCTGGGAAAGCAAAACGTGCGTTTTCTGGAACGCTGAGTTGTTCAAACAGCGACGTTTTGGATGGGAAGTGATTCCTCAAAGACAGTCTAGACTCCAGCTCGGAGCTCGGGGGTGGATTTTTTTGACATTCCCTGTTCTTCTCAAAGGTGACAGCGAGGGAATGAACAGCTTTGGCTGGAAGGGACAAAAATCCCACCTCAAAGGAGCCGACACTGGCAAAAAACCAACCCGGAGCCGCATTTATCTGCCACCTTCCACTGCTTCCCACCTAATTTAGATCACAAGCTCCAGGGCTCCAAAGCTTTGGGGAAACATGATGAAAACAGCACATTTGACAGCTGAAAATTATTCCACTCACGTAGTCCCAGGTTCTCTGTTTTCCCTGGAAACAAGGGCAGGATAAAGCAGCGGAGCAGAGTTGGGTTACCTGAGGTTTTTGTGCTCCCACAGTAAGAGCAGGTTCAAAGTGTGGAAATCACCTGAAAATCTGAGTTTTGTTCTGGAACAGAGGCTTTGCTTAAGTAAGAAAAATCCCATCAACCAAAGGTGAGAATTTAATGGCGAAAAGGATGAAACCTCGTCTCAAAAAATACTGATTTTGAGCCATTTTCGGTGGGTGCATTAAATGAGTTCGGTTTAAACCGCAGCAAGACACTCTGGAATCAAACTAAGCACCCAGAAAACTTTGCACTAAGGCAGCTGTGCTAATTTAGAAAGGAGTTCAACAAAACCTTGCTTGGTGGGCAAGACCCAGAAGCCATTTAACCCACCTTCTCCCCAACCCCACAGCTGGGAGAGCAGGAGAAGTTCATTTCCCACAGGACACAGCTCATTGTGAAGCACTTGGAAGGTAAGGGAGGTGCTGGCACTGAGTTTTGAGTGCTAAGTCAGGTCTAAATTAACAAGTAAAACACCAGGCAGCACCAAACCTGCCTCCTTCTTCTCTTCCTCCTGCTGGCCCTGCACAGGCCCATCCCCAGAGTCACCCCCTGTGCCCCAAAGGATCATCCAAACCCTCCCTGAGCTCTGGCAGCCTTGGGGCTGTGCCCACTGCCCTGGGGAGCCTGGGCAGTGCCCAACCAGCCTCTGGGGGAAGAACCTTTCCCTGAGATCCAGCCTGAGCCTGCCCAGACACAGCTCCAGCCCTTCCCTGGGTGCTGTCCCTGGTCCCCCCAGAGCAGAGCTCAGTCCCTGCCCCTCCCCTTCCTACAGAAAATAATCCAAATGGCTCCAAACCTGCTTCCCATGGCACCCAAACTGTTCTAAGCTAACCCCTACAGATACACATATTTATAAACACTCCAATCCCAGGGGGATCCAGGACTGGGATACCCTCGTTCCCAAGGCCATGAGGGGTGTCCCCAGAAGCTCTGGAAGGGTCTGGGATAGGAGCACCCCCATCCCTGGGAGGTTTGAGACTGGGATACCCCCATTCCCAAGGTCCTGAGGGATGGGGACCAGGGGGATCCAGGACTGGGGTACCCCCATTCCCAAATCCCAGAGGGGTTGGGACACCCCCATCCCCAAAGCCCTGAGGGGTCTGGGACAGGGGCACCCCCATCCTTGGGGGGTTTGAGACTGGGATACCCTCATTCCCAAAGTCCCTGGGGGTCTGGGACCAGGAACCTCCATCCCTGGGGAGTCTGGGACAGGGACACCCCCATCCCCAAGGTCCCTGGGAGTCCAGGACCAGGAACTTCCATCCCTGAGGAGTCTGGGACGGGGACATCCCCATCCCTGGGGGGTTTGAGACTGGGATATCCCCATTCCCAAGGTCCCTGGGGGTCCAGGAACAGGAACCCCCATCCCTGGGGACTCTGGGACAGGGGCACCCCCATCCCCAAAGCCCTGAGGTCACTCAGTGTCAGTTCACTCTCATCCAGCCCGAGGGACCCACGAACCAGAGCTGGGCCCCCCCGGCTGTGAGCCCACGGTCACCCCACTCACCATGTTGGGCTGCCAGCCCTCCACGTTGACACAGCGGTCGATGCACCACCAGAAATCATCCTCAGACTCTCCCTTCCAGGCAAAGACAGGGAAACCTGGCACAGAGAGAGGGAGATGTGCCAGCACGGCCTTGGCAAATCCCGCGGGATCGGCCCTTCCCACAGCCCCGCTCCCCACACCACCACGGTCCTGGCTGAGCTTTCCACAGCCCCCTTCCAGGAGAAGCTTTGGACACACACACTGAATGCACACACTGAAGGCAGCACTGGGAGTTGGCTTTAGCCTTCCTCACTTCCTCCTCTCCCTCAGGAAAGAGCTGCACCCACCACTAGGCCAGAGGCCGACACGCTCCAAATAATATTTATTTCCAAAATGAAGATTTCCCTGAAAATTAGGTGTCCTACCCGCTTGTTAGGCATGTCAGCCCACTAATTTATTAATGAATTAATGATTTATTTGAATATATTCTGATTTATGAGCAATCAGGACTAAGCTTCAGGGAGTGAGACCTTGTAACGGGCAAGATGGTGGGTTTGGCTTCTGGGTCTTCCAGGTCTCAAGGTCAAACTCTTGGCCTTACCCAGGTTAAAACCCCCGGCCTCATCCAGGTAAATCCCCTGAGCTTATCCAGGTAAAACCCCTGGCCTTACCCAGGTAAAATTCCAGACCTTACCTAGGTAAAATTCCAGACCTTACCCAGGTAAAA